CCCACCGCCCCACTACCCCCAAACTTACCTGTATACCTCCTGCCCAGCAAAGCCAGAACAACATCCAGTGCGGACTGCGGAATCGTTGACAAAGTCCTGGAGTGAATGGTCCCCACCCACAAGGCTCATTCTCCTCCTCATCCTTGTCAGTGTCTGTCCTCGGACAGACTGTGACTGAGTATCGGTCACATTTGTCAAGGGAGGACGGGGCATCGTAGGAAGTGGGCGTGTCTGGAATGGGCGGGGAACTGTTCCCACTGCCATCATGTAGTATAGACACATACTCCTGTGAGTGTGACACGGTCATCCTGTAAAATAGATCAACAAGAATCAGGTCAACTAGATCAATTCCTGTGAGTGTGACATGGTCATCCTGTAAAATAGATCAACAGGACTCAGGTCAGCTAGATCAACTCCTGTGAGTGTGACACGGTCATCCTGTAAAATAGATCAAAAAGAATCAGGTCAACTAGATCAACTCCTGTGAGTGTGACACAGTCATCCTTTAAAATAGATCAACAGGAATCAGGTCAACTAGATCAACTCCTGTGAGTGTGACACGGTCATCTTGTAAAATAGATCAACAGGAATCAGGTCAGCTAGATCAACTCCTGTGAGTGTGACATGGTCATCCTGTAAAATAGATCAACAGGAATCAGGTCAACTAGGCCAAGTAAATAAATTCATACTGAAATGATTAATAAGAGAAGTATTTTAACAAAGTTAAGAGAAATATATTAATGAGGTCAAGGATATATTTAATTTTAAGAGAAATATCATAGTGAGAAATATTATTAAATCAAGAAAAAACATACATTAGTGAATAATTTAAAGAGGAAGATGGAGATATATAGAAAGGTTAAGATAAATTTATTACATTTTTACCAGTAAAATGTATCAATCATTATTGATTAAGGTTTTACAGTGAAAATAAAGCTGATGCATTTCTACTGTAACAAATAACATTTAATTTATTTTTACACTAAACCGACCAATCAAAATGCAGGGTCTAAAGTGAATGAAAAAAATGTGCACTGTCAATTATGATGTCGCCTAGTGCTGTTATTTTCTTATTGTGAGGTTGCACTCCTTGTTCCAACTTATTTTGACTAGAGTTAAATAATCTGTTCACAAAATGCAATATTTCTATAAAGAAAATTGTTAACTAACAAAAGTTATGTCTCTTGATCTGGTCAATTAACCTCCCCTAAACTGAGTAAATTTTCTTTATTCTCGTGTATCTAGCCAGTGTTCCTGGTTACTATTGACAACTGATTGGTTTTTATCAAATTATTGTTCCTTAATATAAAGTAGTCAATGATTTAATTTACTCACAGATTCGTAGTATATCGTCTATTTTACCTCCATTATATCAGCACTGACTTGTCTGGTACTTGTGGCGACCACCCCTGTGTAACCTTTTCCATAATTCTCCTTTTATCTGTCTTATCATCAACTCCTCCTTCTCTCCTACACATACTGTCAGGTCACATTCGTTACTCACTTATTACACCCCAAACATCCTATTTAAATTGGTTAACCTTTCCCCTCAACCATTCTGTAGGTTATGAGGGTCAGATTTCAACTGTCTTGGAGGGCCTCACTCTACTTTATATCCCCATTTCCTTACTCAGTCTCCATTTCTGTAACACTAGATCTGACTTTCTAACATGCTGTCCCAGACCCCTTCCCCCCTCCCCACCCTCCTTTTTCCTCTATCACGGTCCCTTCCCTCAGTTTTAAGGTGACCTCTTCTCTCACTCAACTCTATGATTCAAGTGGATGATTCTAAATGTCAAGACGACTTATAATTCTCAGAATTTGGTGAATTTTCCCCAATCCTCCGCTCCATCCTTAAGGGGTTATATTCTTATGTTGTGTATACAGACCATACCTCCCCCCACCCTCAGCCAACAGTCTGAGACTTATTACATTTCCACTCTCACATGAACATTTTCATCCCCTCCCAACCCTTTAATTAATAGTCGCACTGACCCTCCCCACATATCAGGTCCCCTCCTACCCTTATCCATCAGATCATCCCTACTGTGTGTGTACACAGACCATATCCTCCCCATCCTCTTGTTAAGTCTAGTCCTCTACCCTGCTCTCTCAAATCAACAGTACTACTCCTCCCCACCCTCAGCCAACATACTTATCTCTTCCCCACCCTCATATCAACAGTACTCCTCCTCCCCACCCTCAGCCAATAGACTTATCTCTTCCCCACCCTCATATCAACAGTACTCCTCCTCCCCACCCTCATCCAATAGACTTAACTCTTCCCCACCCTCAGGTCAAGTCCTACCTAGGCCTCTTTCCATCTATCAGATCAACCCCACCCGCATGGGTTTACAGACCATAATCCTCCCCACCCTATCAACAGTACCACTCCCTCCCCACCCTCAGCCAATAGACTTATCTCCTCCCCACCCTCATATCAACAGTACTACTCCTCCCCACCCTCATCCAATAGACTTAACTCTTCCCCACCCTCAGGTCAAGTCCTACCTAGGCCTCTTTCCATCTATCAGATCAACCCCACCCGCATGGGTTTACAGACCATAATCCTCCCCACCCTATCAACAGTACCACTCCCTCCCCACCCTCAGCCAATAGACTTATCTCCTCCCCACCCTCATATCAACAGTACTACTCCTCCCCACCCTCATCCAATAGACTTAACTCTTCCCCACCCTCAGGTCAAGTCCTACCTAGGCCTCTTTCCATCTATCAGATCAACCCCACCCGCATGGGTTTACAGACCATAATCCTCCCCACCCTATCAACAGTACCACTCCCTCCCCACCCTCAGCCAATAGACTTATCTCCTCCCCACCCTCATATCAACAGTACTACTCCTCCCCACCCTCATCCAATAGACTTAACTCTTCCCCACCCTCAGGTCAAGTCCTACCTAGGCCTCTTTCCATCTATCAGATCAACCCCACCCGCATGGGTTTACAGACCATAATCCTCCCCACCCTATCAACAGTACCACTCCCTCCCCACCCTCAGCCAATAGACTTATCTCCTCCCCACCCTCATATCAACAGTACTACTCCTCCCCACCCTCATCCAATAGACTTAACTCTTCCCCACCCTCAGGTCAAGTCCTACCTAGGCCTCTTTCCATCTATCAGATCAACCCCACCCGCATGGGTTTACAGACCATAATCCTCCCCACCCTATCAACAGTACCACTCCCTCCCCACCCTCAGCCAATAGACTTATCTCCTCCCCACCCTCATATCAACAGTACTACTCCTCCCCACCCTCATCCAATAGACTTAACTCTTCCCCACCCTCAGGTCAAGTCCTACCTAGGCCTCTTTCCATCTATCAGATCAACCCCACCCGCATGGGTTTACAGACCATAATCCTCCCCACCCTATCAACAGTACCACTCCCTCCCCACCCTCAGCCAATAGACTTATCTCCTCCCCACCCTCATATCAACAGTACTACTCCTCCCCACCCTCATCCAATAGACTTAACTCTTCCCCACCCTCANGACACCATGATGTCCCACAGTCACCAACATGTCCCACAAACACCATAATGTCCCACAGACACCCTGATGTCCCACAAACACCATGATGTCCCATAGACACCCTGATGTCCCACAAACACCATGATGTCCCATTTTTTCCAAAGAAGTCCCCAAACTATCGGAATGTTTAGATTTTCATAAAATCAACTCTACATAGTCGCATAACCATTATATGAAAGTGTCAACGAATTTTGCTGGTTAATTGCGAAAGTGTGGAGCCACCTTAAGCAGTTATGACCACTAAGATTTCCTTTAGAGTTATTTCCCTTAGTTTGAGCTGGGCATTTTTTCCACTTTGAGTGTTCTTTGTTATAAAAAAAAAAAAAAAAATGTTTCAGAGGCGGCCAGGTGCAAAGTATTCTTTTCAGATCACAATTATACAGTTTTGTTTGTATTATATGATAAAAAGAATCTGTCATTCGTTTTCCTTCATATTAGATTTATGATACAAGTTTTGGAGAGGCGAGCAAATATGAAAAATCTAAAATGAGTATCATTAATCTAATATGAACAGAAACGAATGACAGATCCTCTATTAATCTAATGTCCTTTACCTAAACATAATAGCTGATAAAGGTGGTGATATTGAAGTAATATGCCTACATCAATATTATAAGTCCCTTTCTTTCATTTTAGGGGAAAATGATAGACAAGAAAACCACAATAATGAAATGACAGTTGAATGCTTCACAGCTGAGCTATGTTTGTTTTATTTTCTGGTTTCCCAACTACAATTATGAATTTACATATATAATTATTAATAAATTAATTATTTTTATTTTATGTATACGTTATGTTCTTTAGTTCATATCAAGTAAATTTATTTACAACAACTTATGTACATAGTCATTCATAACTACATGTACTAATCATTTTCACACAGGCATTAATTTAACAAATATTTCACTGTTAGTTAATCTATACCAATTACAAACTAGGTGTCAAAATGATCCTAACTTGATCCTGCAAATTACTCATCCTGCAGCGGATAATAACTTCACGTTTACATCAATAAAACTTCTTAAAGTAATTAACCTGATTAATAAAATTAACCTCACATTTAAGTCAGTTAAACCTATACTTATCAAACAGCCTTTGCTGCTACAGACAAGTCACAGGTCTGTTTTATAGTTACAGAACCTGCTACACTTTACAGATGAGTCACAGGTCTGTTTTATAGTTACAGAACCTGCTACACTTTACAGACGAGTCACAGGTCTGTTTTATAGTTACAGATCCTGCTACACTTTACAGACGAGTCACAAGTCTGTTTTATAGTTACAGAACCTGTTATACTTTACAGACGAGTCACAAGTCTGTTATATAGTTACAGAACCTGCTACACTTAACAGCCGAGTCACAAGTCTGTTATATAGTTACAGAACCTGTTAAACTTTACAGACGAGTCACAAGTCTGTTATATAGTTACAGAACCTGTTATACTTTACAGACGAGTCACAAGTCTGTTATATAGTTACAGAACCTGCTACACTTTACAGACAAGTCACAAGTCTGTTATATAGTTACAGAACCTGCTACACTTTACAGACAAGTCACAAGTCTGTTATATAGTTACAGAACCTGCTACACTTTACAGACAAGTCACAAGTCTGTTATATAGTTACAGAACCTGCTACACTTTACAGACAAGTCACAAGTCTGTTATATAGTTACAGAACCTGTCACACTTTACAGACAAGTCACAGGTCTGTTATATAGTGACAGAACCTGCTACACTTTACAGACAAGTCAC